GGAAGCCATACATAATTATTAAGTCCAATTCAAGAATTTTTAATTTAATTAATTAAACTAACAAATTTTTAAAAAATGTTGAAAATGACACACATAGTAATTAAGTATAGTTTGGTGCTACCGGGCCTCAAATATCGAACCTGGAAGGCCATACATAATTATTAAGTCCAATTCAAGAATTTTTAATTTAATTATTAAACTAACAAATTTCTAAAATATGTTGAAAATGACACACATAATAATTAAGGATAGCTTGTAAAATTCATATCCGGACGGTACCCCTTATGAAAAATATAAGTGTTAATACAAATCCAATTAAAACATAAAATAAACATCGCTAAAGCGTAGTAAAATTAAAGTTTACCAGTCGTCTTGTGGATAATATAAAGTCGAAAAATTATTTTGTGGCTGCTCATTCGCCGGTGGTGACAAGTTTAAATCAAGGCAAGCTCTTTCATCAGCAATCTGTCCGGCAAAAACTGCTCCAGAATAACCACCCGATGACTGGGGGTTATCCCTACTATGCACGCCCTCATTATTGGGAACGTCTTCCACCTTGACGTACATTTTCAATAATTTTATTACAATGAATTCCCTGTATTCATCCGGAATCCGCAAAAAATCTCTAAGAGTTTCATCATCCTCGATGTTAAACTCAGAATAATAAGCAATCCCCTGCGGAGTCACTGAATACGGAAACCTACCGGTTACTTTAAGGTTAACCGAACGCTTCCTCACACTCATTTTTTTACATAACAACGAAACCAATTTATCATACTCCATAGTAAGCGGCAGTTTAACATGACACCGTAGAGGTGAGCTATACCTCACAGAGTTATTCTCCAGCACAACCTCACCCCCCAATATAATGAAAACAAAAATTATTCGCTCGTAAATTGACTCAAATATATATTAGAAACATAGAAAAGTTTAATTTCAATAATGGTTAACTCTAAATCATGACCATTAACAGATTACAAGACATCAAAGGGATGCACTAATCTAGGGTCGAAGAAATTAAAAAAGGGTACTATAAGTTAAAATGAAGATGTAACATACATTGATAACCCCGGAAATGGGTTATTATTATTGGTTGAACTTAGATGGGAAATTATTTCATTGGATATGCCAAGTTAGGTTAGATGATTGTCCTGATTTTCTTATCATATTTGATTTTTCAATAGTTGTTTTCTTTATGTGATTGTCTTGATTTTCTTACCATATTTGACTTTACTATCTATTAAAGGAAATGATAACATATTTACCATAATTGGGTTTTCCTTCTTGTAGAAGGAAATTATAAATCTACCATATTAGACTAGTCCATTTTCTTGTAGGAAAAAGTTTTAGACTTCTATAAATTGAGGATTCTTCCTTCTCATTCAGTAGCATCCATATGGCGGTTGAGAATCTTGTTTAGGGGGAGAATTTCCTGTCTCTTGTGTTTGCCTTTTCGTGAGGTTGTTCTCTATATATTTTATACTCTCTTTTATTTAGTGGATTGCTCATCTTCGCCCGTGAATGTAGGTCGATTGACTAAACCACATTAAATGTTTGTGTCTTTTTTGGTATATTTCTCTTATGTTGTCTGATTTATCGTCGTTCAATATTTTCTTTACTAGCTTTCGCATGATACCTGATTATTCCGATCCTAACAACTCTCTTGTATGTGTATTGCTCTACTAAAAAAAAAGAAGGAAAAACTCAATTAATTGGGAAAAATTTGCAGACCATAATCAAGGATTTCGATGGGTTTGAAATTTATTTTTCGTTTGCTTAAACATTTCCATGCAATTCATGGTACTATACAAGGACGGAGAGGAGGAGAGAGAGTATGAAATTAGATTGATATTCAGGGGTCGTTTGGTTGGAAAGATGTTTTCCCAGAATTATCTTTTCCGAAATTAGTTATCTCGGGATTAATTATTCTACCTTCCCATGGGAATAAAAAAATACTACAATCCCGAGATAACTAATTTCAAAATTAATTATACCACAATTTTCTCTCAACCAAATATGGAATAAACTCTTTTTAAATTTAGTCTCAAAATTAATTATCTTCGTCTTTCATACCAAACGAACCCTCAGGCTCAGTGTATTATATGCTTTGCAAACCTACAGAAAATACGCAATTGAGGCTAACACTTTAATGAGAATACACCATATACAGTTCGTGAAAGTGGAAATAGGTGTGAAAATCATGAGTACGCTAACATATGAAAAAGTTTTCCAAAATATGAATCTGAAAAATCATATTCACATTTGCCGGTTAAGAACGGGAGATTTGTATATATACTCAGTTTTGAAATCACTATTGAAATTATATATGTGTTAGTACAAAAATTTGTAAATTTACTCACTTTAAGATAAACTTCAGACTTAACGGGTCTGAAGATAAAAAAAAAAATACGTGTTTGAAGTTGCAAATTTAAGATGCACTTAAGACTGTTTTATTTTAAAGTGCAGCTAATTTTTGCATGCACTTAATACTTTTTTAGTCTGAAGTGCAAAAACTATATGCAACTAAGACTTAATTGGTATGAAGTGCAGCTAACTTTTGCATGCACGTAAGGCTTTTTAATCTGAAGTGCAAATTGCATAGAAGCAAAAACTTGTTCTTCGAATTTCAACAGTCTAATATTCAACACCCAATTCTATTCCAAAATGAGCTCAAATTTGAAACATAACTTTGAATCGTCAATTTGTCAAAACAACAACAAAATATAACAAATTCATTTATCAATTAAGAGGAAGAAGAAATTCTAAGCAGTAGCAAAGAGAGGAGCGCCACAATAACTCACTACTATAAAATACTATAAACCACCGTAAAATCTGCTCACAAACACAATGTAAATCCATTATCACCTTTGTTTTCACAACAACTAATTTGAAAGAAGATAAAGAAGGAGGAGGAGGAGGAGGAGGAAAAGGTATGAAGTTATTTGTGCTTCGGATACTAATTAAACATTTTTAAAAAAAATACAAATTAAATGAAGGTTATCAAATAGGGCGCCAGTGAAATTTGTAAGTTAAAGAACATATCTGTTTTGGAATACTTCCATACAGTACAAAAGATTTGCTTTCATTTTATCTAAAAGAGATTTATTCACCCCAATTGCACATTTTAAATTACTAAACAAAGCAATTACTTTTAATCCATCAACTACTACATACTAGAATAGGCCTGTGCATAATTTGGTAAATACAGAATTACCGTATCGAAACTGAAAATTTTGGTATTTGGTATTCGATATTTTTGTATTCGGTATGGTATTTGGTTTAAGTTTTAAAAAATATTGGTTTAGGTGTGGTATTTGGTATTTTAAAATAAAATACCGAAATACCGATACCGTACCGAAATATATATATATATATAATATACAAAACATATGTNTATATATATATATATATATATATATATATATATATATATATATATATATATATATATATATATATATATATATATTATATTACACAATACACGTATTATTAATTATAACATAAATATAAAAATCTAAAATTTTACTTTCCTTTATTCTCTAAGTTCATCAATTAACTTTACGTAAGTTACAAAACATTTCTAACGATCAAATTTATTCTTTTATGTACAATTTTCTCTCTCTAAGTTGATTTGCTAGTTTTGGACAAAACTTTTGTCAACAAATATTTTTAGTTTTGTACTTTTGAATACTTTAATTCAGAATATTACATTCTATGACTCTATGCACTAGTTAGTATTCAACCGAATAAACCGAAGTTATCAAACCGAATAAACCGAAACCGAAAGGAGAAAAACCGAATCATACCGAATTTAATTAGATATGGATTGGTATTGCATTTTAAGAAATCGAATACAGAAAATACTGAACCGAAATGTCTAAATACCATACCGTACCGACCGGCGGACATCCCTATACTAGAAAACAAATTTAATAAAAATACTCATAAAAGAAAATAAGTCATACATAGTAAGGGGTAAATTAGTCTTTTGACGTAGCTAACAATCCAAACACGCTGACACGTCAGTTAGTTGTTTATGGCGCGTTACATGACCCAAAGACTTGAGAAGTAGTTGACTAACATCAAAGTAAAGTCCAAAATTTTGAAGAAAAATATTTTGCTAGAAAATTAAAACTTTCTTTCTTTCTATGGAAATCAAGAGTCAGTTCTGGTTACATGGACGAAACCTCCGAAAGCTTACTTTCTTTGACCACCCCAAATTTTCCATTTACCCATTTTTTGGGTTAGAAAAAGGGGACGGATTGCCCGCAAGGATTAGCTGAGTTAGTTGGATAAGTGATTTTCCACATGAAAGATTTGAGATCGATTCTGCTCACCAGCGGCCTTCTTAGACAGAGCTCATCACATCAGACTTGCCTAGTGTGATTTACATCTCTATGTAGTTTGTGAGCTATTCCACATTGAGCAGGTTATCCGGTGCACAATCGAAGGCAGTGGCGGAGCAACATTCAACCAAGGGATATCAATCGATACCCCTTCGCCAGAAAATTATACTGTATTGCTTGATAAATATTTTTGTTTTATGTATATTTACTACACGTTAACTTTTTGGTGTATGTAATTTTTTATATTTTGACACTCCTCAATGAAAATTCTGGTTCCGCCACTGCCCGAAGGGTCGTGACACGGGTTTCCCAAGGAATTTTTCAAAAAACTAAAGAAAAGGGGACATATTTTATTTTTGTCCCAAATTAAGCGGAGGTTGGTTTAGAAATTGGAGAACTTTGATTTGATCAAAAAACTCGTTGGGTTTGAAAGTTAAAAGAAATTCTAAATAAAACCAACAATTAGTTTTCTTAATTCTTTTCCAATTTCTTGTTCACATTAAACTGTACGGTAATTCAATGACCAATTACTTTCTTTAGTACAGTTCCATTTGTCCACTAGCTAATCTTTTAGTCTCCTCTATTTTAATTTATTTTTTTCCCCAAATCCACGCTTTAAAAATCTCCCTATATAACTACCAATTCTGTAATAGTCAGACACATCATTTCTGAAAAACTTCAATATTCTTCAACAGAAAAAACAAAAGAAATTTTTTGGTTCGTCAACTGAAAGATGACAGTGATGAGAGAAAATGGTTTTAAAGGAAGAGAATCAGAAACCATAATACAATCAAATGGGGTTGATAAGATGTCAAGAAAGAATACAATAAATGTTAGAAATTGTGAGCCAATCAAACTGATGCTTGAGACAACACTTTCATTCAAGAATCTGGTTCAAGAAACTAAGGCAAAATCAGATGAAGTTTCCTTTCCTGAGCCTGCAATTATGTTTTCTCCTCGACCAGTTAGTGAGCTTGATGCTGCAGCTGTTAAGCTTCAAAAAGTATATAAGAGTTATAGGACAAGAAGAAATCTGGCTGATTGTGCTGTTGTGGTTGAAGAATTATGGTTGGTGTTTTCTTATTGTCTTGTTGTTGTTATTTTCTATCAGTTTTTTCATAACTTCGGACCTTAATTACTGGTTATTGTTATTGCATGTCATCTATTTTATGATTTTTATCATGCTGTTACTATTTCTATGGTTTCTGTTGACGATACTGATATATTGTCTTTTCTTATTTTCTTTACGTCTTTCTGAGCCGAGGGTTTATCGGAACAGCCTCTCTGCCCCATCAGGGTAGTGGTAAGGGCTGCTTACACACTACCCTCCCCATACCTCACTTTGTGGGATTTTACTGGATCGTTCTTGTTGTTGTTGTTGTTGTTGTTATTGCTGGTTGTTACTGCTTTCTTTTTTCTTTCCTTGAGTCGGGGGTCTGTCGGAAACAGTCTCTCTACCCTCAAGGTAAGGTAAGGGTAATATCTGTGTACACACTACTCTCTTCAAACCCCACTCGTGAGATTATACTGGATTTGTTGCTGTTATTGTTGTTATTTTTACGACGCCCTTTTCAATTACAAGTGTGTTATATGTATTTCTCTTATTCTATATTTATTGAAGTAATTATTGTGTGATATATGCAGGTGGAAGGCATTAGATTTTGCAGCTCTAAAGAGAAGTTCTGTTTCATTTTTCAATGATGAGAAGCCAGAAACTGCTGTTTCAAGGTGGGCAAGAGCACGTACTAGAGCTGCTAAAGTTGGAAAGGGATTGTCCAAAGATGAAAAAGCTCAAAAATTGGCTCTGCAGCATTGGCTAGAAGCTGTAAGTTTTGAAACTGCTTTTTCTTGCTGTCATTACTGCTTTACTTGCATGTTTCCTTGAGACGAGCATCTAATCGAAACTGCCTCTCTACCTCACGGTAGGGGTAAGCAGTGCCGAAGCCAGAAATTTACTAAGAATGTTCAAAATTGAAAGAAATGAAAAAAATTCTCCGACAAATAGTGGTCAATATATGATATATACCTCTAAAATCTAGTAATATGTTACCTAGTACACAGTGTAATTTCCGACGAAGGGTGGTCAGTTGACCACCGTTCAAAACATATAGCTTCGCCCATGGGGGTAAGGTCTGCGTACACACTATCCTCTCCAAGACCCCACTTGGGGAATTATACCGGAATAGTTGTTGTTGCGGTTGCTTTCATTAGAAGGATTTGGTATGATCAAGCAATTGACTTTTTTTTCTTCTTCTAATTTTCTTATGTAGATTGATCCACGACATCGGTATGGACACAACTTGCATTTCTACTATGATTTGTGGTTTGAGAGTGAAAGCTCTCAGCCTTTCTTCTACTGGTAAGTATAGTACTAAATGTTTAAGAAATTTACATTTGTGTTCCATGAGAAAGTTAATTAATCGGAGATGACATATAATCGCGTTATTAACCTTTATCTTATGAAGGTTGGATGTTGGAGATGGGAAAGAAATAAATCTAGAGAAATGTCCTAGGACAAAATTACACCATCAATGCATCAAATATCTTGGACCAGTAAGTTCACGTTCTGAATCTTTATTAAACATATGTAACTTAATTGTTCGATGTATAGTTAACAGAAACAATCTAATGCAGAAATGCAGAGTAAGGTTGTGATAATAGACCATTGTAGTCCGGCCCTTCTCTGGACCCCGCGCATAGCGGGAGCTTAGTACACTGGGCTGCCCTTTATAATTAACAGATATGTGATGTGTTTATATATAGTTCTTTTGAACTTAATTGCTTATGTTTTACAATTTCAGAAGGAGCGCGAATCATATGAAGTAGTTATTGAGAATGGGAAGCTTGTATATAAACAAAATGGAGATTTTATTCAGTCAGTAGAGGGTTCAAAGTGTATATTTGTTCTTAGCACAACAAGAACATTATATGTAGGACAAAAGCAAAAAGGCACATTTCAACATTCAAGTTTTCTATCTGGTGGTGCTATCACTGCAGCTGGTAGACTAGTTGCTCATGCTGGAATTCTAGAGGTAAATTATTATCCAACTACAAACTCCGAATTAGATTTGTCGCGAATAAGTTTACTTATCTTGTCCATGTATGTCTTATGTTGCAGGCTATTTGGCCATATAGTGGTCACTATCACCCAACTGAAGAAAACTTCAGGGAATTCATTAGCTTTCTTGAAGAGCACAACGTCGACCTTACAAACGTTAAGGTAAATGTTCATGTTTCGCTTGAACATGTGTTGAAGTGTGACCATATGCTGCTCTGATACAATATTAAACTCTGTGACCATCTTAATTATATTATGTCTCAATAACATACAAACGATAATTATTCCCTTATGCAGAGATGTGCAGTTGATGATGACTATCATTCATTCAATGTTAGCAACGAGGGCTCAAATCGCCAATCACATGTGCATCCTTCCATTACCAAAGACTCTGAACAAAGAAGCACATACGTCAACAAGAAACCGGAGGACATTATCATCAATGAGAAGGCACCAACATTTAGCTTCGCTAAACATTTGTCCAACAAATGGACAACTGGAACTGGACCGCGTATTGGTTGTGTTAGAGATTACCCTACAGAATTACAATTCCGAGCACTTGAACAAGTTAATTTATCGCCTCGGGTGGCCAATGTAGGCTTCAATTTCTCTGGTCCAATCCCCTCACCAAGACCAAGTCCAAATATCAGGCTTTCTCCTAGGATTGCACATATGGGACTGCCTAGTCCTCGGACTCCTATTTCAGCACCTAACTAAGCAACATTTGAACCAAATGAAGCACATCTAGTGCAACTAGACAGGAGGAGATGGGAGGGATAAAACTAACTCAAATCTTTAATTTATTTGTTCATTCATGTTTGTATTTACTAGATGGCTTCATTGAGCCAAAGCAAATAGTATTTTATGTAAATTTTGAGGTAATAATTTGATTAATTTTCAATACTTTTCATTCTTTTTTGAGAAACAAAGAGTTGATACTTGTGGACGTTAAAATCGTACACAACTTTGTAGCATCTAATAGTAACATAAATACAAAGATGTCCATCGCATTGTATTTGGACATGGAAAGAAAGAAAAGGAAGATATATGCTTTTTATTCTTTTATATATATAGAATCTTTTCTTGAAGTTAACCCGAAAATAAATAAAAAATTATATATAAAAAATAATTGATTACCAAAATCACATTTTTATCGGGTAGAATTTTTTTCGTTGTGTTTTTTCACACTTACTTTTTTTGGTCCAAAGTCCAAACATGAAATTTTTAATGATAGTTGGTTATCTTCGTCACTTCTTTTTCGCAATAATTATTTAGACTTGTGCATATCCATTATAGACATTAAAAAAAAGCCTAGTTGAGATTTTCCCCATAAAGAAGCACATTGCTCTTTTGGCAATAGGACAAAGGACAAAGATGGTGAAATATCAAATTGCAGTCATGATCATACAGCTCAGCGAGGAAACAAAAAATATATATATATAAAATGAGTAAAGGTCAAAGCTAAAAGAACACAAACGACTTAATGAAAGGTTGTAGGAGGAAAATAACATGAAGTTGCAGCAGATATAGCTCTTAGACAACTGGTTTATCGGAATTCAGTAATAGGGCAACCCGGTGCAAGTTATTCCGCATTCACGCACGATCCGAGGAATTCATAAAATTTAATATGAGCATCACGTCTGATAACCGCCTCCCAATATAATCCTTAAGTACATGTTTGAGTTCTTGCCCTAAATGTGGCATTTTAGTACTTTGAATTGATTTTTTTCGGTACACACTTTATTCATTCTCATGCATAAACGAGGCTCAGATGTCCAATTTTGATTTGATCGATTGTTTCCTTTTTGAATAAAACGCAAATTTTGTTTGTGCCTATTTCTACTTCAATGACATTTTGAGCTCTACAATATTGCATTTGAAGTGGATGTTTTTGGAGTCATAAACTAAGTACAAAATAATAAAAGAGAAGAAACGAAATCTGCATCCAATTATGAATTAATCAATTGTTTCTTTTTTTTTTTTAAGATTATAGCACCGTGTACTGTATTTTATTCCACTAGTTAGTTATTACTGTTATTACTGTAGCTCCGTCCGTTATTAGTTAGTTGTTAGAGTAGTTAGTGCTTAGCTGTCATTCTCAAGTCAGGTAGTTAGATTAGTAATCTCATTGTATATAAGAACTTAGCTGTTGCATAATTGAATCAGAGTTTCATTTCCTCAATTAAGAGACTCCATTTCGTTGCTCTCCAAATTCGTTCTTCTGGAAGCTTCTAATCGCTTCCTCCATTGTAGCTGTTGATCACGCCCAACTATGCCTTATAAAAAGGACTAAGCGATCGTTGCAAATATAATCCGGTTTACAAGTCCGGAGTCGAATCCCACAGAGAACTAAGACTTAGCTACAGTTGTTCAGTATCCCTAAAAAATACAAGTCCAAATAATTTCCTAATTATAAAGATTGCGATTCTTATTTTAAACTAATTAACTAAGAACTATTAAAAGCAGTAAATAACTAAGGAGACTAAGAGTTGGAAACAAGATTAAGGAGGTCTAGAGATATGATTTCTCCAATTGTCGGAATCCTTCCCGCTAAGTGTTTTATAATTTCGACTATGTATTCTCTTCCGATCGTGAGTACTTTGAGTGTTGTATCTCTCTCTCTCGAGCAACTACCTACTAGACGTATTCTCTTGAACTACGCTAGCTGGCACTAATTCACCGCTCACTATGATCGCACCAAGGTTTCGTTATCTCTAACCCCGCCTTTAAACCCTCCGTATTGAGCTCTTACATACGTTAGGAGTGATGTTGTTCAATAACTACCTAAATATGTACTCTCTCTCGAGCAGTACATACTAAATAGGCACAGTCAATTGATGATCATTCAATCAACAACAACAAACACGTAGTTGAACAAGTAGCGAAATCCAACGGCTTAATCATATTATACTAAAAGTAGGAAGCTCCTAAAGAAAAAATTAAATTACCAAATTACCCATCAAAAATCAAATAACTATTTTACCCTTCCATCAAATCTCACTCCTACAATATCCTTGGACTAAAAAGTAAAATCATCTTCAACAAATAGTAAATTTTGTACCACAATAAAGACCAGGTAATGAGAAGACGTAATTTATGTATTTGCTTTTAATGATTATAATCTCTCGGTCCACTCTTCTTGAGAATTGGATGATTACTTTGTCATTTAATTTGATGATTAATGGTTAACTTTTCTGTATAATATCTTTTCATTTATCAAATATTGGTTTCTTCTAATTTTCCATGCATGTATCATGAAATCTTTATTAACAAAGTAACAATTTGTATACAACAAAAGGAAGATAACAGAGAAGAGAAGAAGCAGAAGTGAGGAAGAAGTTGATTGAAAGAGACGAGAGAGAGAAAGAACAAATGGAATGAATTAGTTATTATTCATCTCAATAATGTGTCCTCCAATTAGTTACAATGAATCATTTATATAATATAACTAAGTGAGCTTAACTCAATAAAAAAATAATCTTAACAAACTATTAAACCTCCTTAACTAACTTCAACCAACTCAGTTTGTAATGACTAAACTGCCCCTGTATTCTAACAGTTTTATTTCTCAACACTCCCCCTCAAGCTAGGTAGTGTAAATATGTTGTAAACTCCTAGCTTGGAACTTAAATAGTTGTGTTGAACTTTACATAGCCCCTTAGTAAGTAAATCTGCCGGTTGATCTTTGGTGCTGATGTACTTAGTAATTATCAATCCTTGTGTGATTTTTTCTCTTATAAAGTGACAATCTATCTCAATGTGCTTAGTACGTTCATGATACACTGGATTAGCTGCAATCTGTATTGCAGCCTTGCTGTCATTGTAGATGTCGATTGGAAGATTGAATTCTATTCCAATTTCTTTCAGTAGGCCTTGTAACCAAACTTTTTCAGCAACTGTAGCTGCGATACTTCTGTATTCAGCTTCAGCAGAGCTTCTAGATACAGTTGTTTGCTTCTTAGACTTCCAAGAGACCAGTGAATTGCCAAGTTTAATCAGATAGCCAGTTACAGATCTTCTAGTATATGGGCATGCAGCCCAGTCAGCATCATAATAGGCTACTATGTTGTTGTTGTTGTTTCTTAATAAGATCCCTTGGCCTGGTTGATTTTTGATATATCTGACAACCCTTAATGTTGCCTCCATATGAAATCTTTTTGGTTGTTAAAGAAATTGACTTAGTGTTTGAACACTGAATGATATATCTGGTCGAGTCATAGTTAAGTAGAGAAGTTTTCCCACTAGTCTTTAGTAAGCCTTCTGATCTGCTAGTTGTTCACTTTCAGAATGCTTTGTCTTGTTGTAGTGATCATCAAATTCCTTTGTTGTCAGTTTGATGTTTGTGTCTAGTGGAGTAACAGCAGGCTTAGAAGCTGACAATCCAACTTCTGATATGAGTTCTAATGCATATTTCCTTTGATGCATTAGTATACCTTGTTTGGATCTAGCAAATTCTATGCCCAGAAAGTACTTAAGTCTCCCAGATCTTTCATTTTGAATGTTTGCTGTAGTATAGTTTTTGTTTCAACTATCAGTTTTAGGCTATCCCCTGTTATTAACATATCATCTACATAGACTAAAACAATAATAATCCTTTCTGATGAACAAAGAATGATCAAATTGACTTTGTTGAAACTGATTCTTCAAGAGTGCTTCAGTTAGCTTTGCATTCCACTGTCTAGGGGCTTGTTTCAGCCCATATAAGGATTTAATGAGTCTGCATACAGGTTTATTCTCCCTTTGACTCTTAAATCTTTGTGGTAGTTCCATGTAGATTTCATCATACAGGTCACCTTGAAGAAAGGCATTGTAGACATCCATTTGGTGTATGTTGCAATTTTTTGCAGCAGCAATAGCTAGGACTGTTCTAACTGTTTTCATCTTAACTACAGGAGAGAAAGTTTCTTGATAGTCAATACCTTCGTTTTGGCTATATCCCATTATCCCTTTGCAACTAGTCTTGCCTTAAACCTTTCAATTTCTCATGTTGACTTGTATTTGATTTTGTATATCCATTTGCATCCAATAGGTACTTTCCCTCCAGGTAATGATACAATGTCCCAAGTATGGTTTGTTTGCAAAGCATCAATCTCAGTTTTCATTGCCTCTATCCATCTAGGATCTCTGATAGCTTCTACATAAGATGAGGGTTCTGTCTCTATCGAAGTTGCTGCTATGTATGCTTGATATGTAGGAGAAAGTTGATCATAGGAAATATACCTTGAAATAGCATATGGAATATCCCGATGAACATTTAGGGACACAAAGTCTTTCATCCAAATTGGAGGATGCTTGTCTCTACTAGATCTTCTGTATTCTGGTTGTTCTGCATTCATAAAGTGAAGACTTTGTGTCTGATCATTTATCTGTTGAACTGCATTTGGTAGTGAGCTATCAGCACTTTGTTGTTGTAGTTCTAGTGAAGCATCATCATCTGCCTGATGTATATAATCCATTGGATCAACTGCCATTTCCATATTTGTATTAATAGGAGAATATGAACTTTCTATGTTACTTTCATTTACTCCAAGTAGATCTTGATGTTCTGAATAGATTGGAGTTTGCCTTTGTTGAGATTCTAAATACCAGCTATGTTGTAGTTCAACTGGCACTTGATTTACAAATATAGGTAGACTGCTTGTCTTTTGATATTTGAATGGGAATACAACTTCTTTAAAGATCACATTCCTGTTTAACAAAAAATAATTTCTCTGTTAGATCATATAACACATACCCTTTCTGAACATCTGAATAGCCCATGTGAACTGCTAGTTTTGTTCTAGTCATCAGTTTATCATCTTGATTTATAACCTTAGCATAGCACATACAACCAAGGACCTTTAAATATTGATATGTAGGTTTCATGTGATGTAGCCTTTCATAAAGAGTTTGATTGTTAACCACAGAACTTGG